TTAGGACTGACTTTCACGTGCCGAGAATTTCCTTGTCCGTTGTCTCTTTGTTTATTACACTGTGGCATAACGTAGATCTTGTATCACCAAAGGCAGGGCTTGTTCCCACAGCTCAGAATACGGGACAACACTGGGGCTTTTGGGAACCACTGCCGCAGGTGACGGGGGCCCCAGAGGGAGGGTGCGTTTGTGCACTGCCCACTCGCGGCAGGGACTGTCCTTGGCACCTGGGCTGCACAGTGAGCTTGACAGACAGAGACCCTGCCTTCATGGAGCCTGTGCCCCAGCGGCAACTAAGAAGGCCTCAGGCAAATAGGAAGACTGGCAGGTAACGTCGGAGTCTGGAGAGTCACTGCAGGGAAAGAAAAAAAATGTGAACAGTGTAGGCACATGCGATGCAGAAACTTAACCGTATTTGTGCGCTTCTGGTGTTCACAGTCATGCACCAAGACTCTGAAAGGAAAATAATGTATTTTAGAAATTAAAGATAGGGGCATTCACAGCAGTCAGCAGGTGGGAGCAGCCCAGATGTCCATCGGCTGGTGAACGGACAAAGTGTGATGTCTGCATACAGTGGACATTGTTCAGCTTTGAAAAAGAGGGCGGTTCTGACCACCCACCCCCACAGCCACAGGGATGAACCTTGAGGACCGTGTGTTAAGTGACATAAGCTGGTCACAAAGGACAAACGCTTCACGGTTCCCTTTACGTGAGGCGCCCAGAGGAGCCTGACTCACAGAGACGAGAAGTCGAGGGTGGAGCTGGGACCATGGGGAAGGGGAGCAGAGAGTGTTCAGCACATGCAGTTTGAGTTTTGCGAGAGGAGGGTCAGGAGCCGGTGCAGGCATGGGGAGTGCACTCGCCCCCGAACCGTGCCCTTCAAAGCGGCTGAGGTGGTGAATTTTATGTTACCTGTATTTTACCACAATAAAAAAGAAAAAAGTTAAAAGTTTCAAAAATTAGCAGCCCAATAAATTGAAAGAATAGTAGACTCAGAAACATTGAAAGAAAGTTTTAAAGACGTCAGCCCGCCACATGATACGGTCGGAGCGGCCGCCGCGGCCGTGCGAAGTTCTGCAGGGCTTGGACGGAGCGGGTGCTGCCAGTGGGGTCGGAACTGTGACGGGGCTGAAAGGAGACGCTGAACAGGGCAGCTTGCAGGCGGCGAGGAGCCGGATCCTGAAGGCGAGAGCGCTCCAGGGTTCCGGGTGGAGCGCGTGGCGTAAGCCTGAGTGAAAACGGGGGCGACTCGGTCACACAGGGTCCTCGAGGACAGCAAGGAAGAAGTGGGTGGGAAATGGTAGCTGGTCACATACAAGACCAAACAAAGCCTTTGATGTGGAAGGAAACCGATGAAAGTGACAGGGGCAGCGAGAGTGGTGCTGAGACCAGAGATGCGGATGGTGGAGACGCGGCACAGGCCGGGACAGAACACTCCTCCCCGTCTTGCGCTTCTGTTAAACATGCACGCTTACCGAGGACTCCGTCTTAAATGTTAACCACCGTCATTCCAACACTGGTTGTGTCTCTCGTGTGCAGGGAAGAGAGGGCTGACGCGCTGTTCCCAACCATCCAGGAATTACCAGCGGATTTTGAGTCCCATTTGCCTTGAATGTCTGCCTCCTGTTTCTGAATTTTGCTAGAAGGAGGGAGGGGACGGGGGGGGGGTCCTTCCTGTTTCTCGAAGCTCAGATGCCACCGCAGAGTACTTCTAGAGACATCTTGATTCTGTTAGAATTTGCAGGTCAAAGGGCAGGCTTACCTATGCTCTTACCTGTTAGTTTACAGCACCAGGGATGGAGGGGTAGACCGGTGGCTGAAAGCTGGATTTCTCTTACTGCCTGCTCACTCTGCAGTCGGGGGGCCTGTCAGCATGCAGTAGGGGGTTCTAGTCACTTTGAAAGGTTCTGTCCCCTCACCTCTTTCTTCCTTTTCTTTAACTGAGGGGAGTCACTCGCAGACCAGGGGAGTGATTGGCAGCAAGAGCGTCTTGCCCCGGGCTTGGGGCACACGTACCCCCTTTCGCATCCGTGTGCTTGCGTTTCTCCCTCTGGGCTCAGGACTCGCGGAGATGGAGTCAGAAGGGTCCCGCCCGCGCGCGTTCCTCTGCTTCGGAGAGGCCTCAGCACAGCTTCCAAAGCCACTCGCTAATCCCTACCAACGCGCGTTGCCTCCGAAGTGGCCGTATTGGTATTAGAACAGCTGACTTTCAGTCTCAGTAATTGGCTCTGGCTAGAAAGGAACTATTTCTGGTATTTTTATTTTCTCCTTTATAGTTTTCTATATCTTTCAGCTTTTCTCCAATGAAGGGTTATTACTTTGTTATCAGAAAGCATCTTTTTTTCGGGGAGGCGGGTATGGCTCAGCGGCAGAGGGCGTGCTCGGCAGGCACAAGGTCCTGGGTTCAATCCCCAGTGCCTCCACCGAAAAATAAAAATAAAATAAAGATTAATTTAAAAATACACAAAGAAACCTAATTACCTCCCCCTCCCCCCAAGCAAACAAAGTATCTTTTTCTCAAAGAAGCAGTTACATTACTAGGTGGGCACTAAAATAAAATTCTTGTTTGCTTTTTTTTCACTTTAAATTCCATTCCCTCTGAAAAGCAGGCTATTTAAAAATGTTGGACTTTAGACACTTCTGAGTGCTCTCTGTAAAGCTGAGCCCCCGAGTTCAGCTACACCACATACTCTTTGCTGTCACACACACTGAGGGACCAAGGATTTTTCTTATTCCCGAAAAGTCAGATGGCTGTTCCCGTTCATTAGCTTTAGTATTTGTGCCTACCCTCCACATTTTTTCAAGAGTTTGTTCTCCCCCATGGTGTCCATTTCAAATTTATCAAATTTGTAGACAAAAGAACAGTGCTAGCCCCGTCCCTTTCCAGAAACAAAAGAGAAACCTGAAGCTGATGAGCCCACAGAGGATCCTGACGTTACCCGGGGCCTCTGCGGTCACAGGGACAACGTGCAGGCGCGGCGTTCTACTTTCTTGACTGCGATTTGCGCTTTCTAGGCACGCAGACGTGCAGAAGTCAGTATCGCGAGGACAGTTTTAAAATGGAAAGGACCGCGGCATGTTCATCTGTTAGGGCATTTTTTAGAGGGTGAGAGCCTTGGAGACGGGAGAGAAACTTTGCTTCTGTTCAGTTCATAGTATGTCACCAACACTCAATAAAAATAGATAGCATCGATGGAGGTGCCAGGGATCGAACCCAGGACCTTGTGCGTGCTGAGCACATGCTCTGCCCTCCCCCACAAAATAAAATTTTTATTTGAATTGCATAGAAAAAAGAAAAAACTTCAAAATATATGTCTTATTGAAAAGGCACTATTCCAGTGGCTCAGACTTTATCTTAAAATTCAGGATCTGAATTGTCACCTGCTGTATTGCGTTTTGGGAGTGTGATGTTTTACCCCAGAGATTAACAGTACCACACTAGCTGGCCAGGCATGTCGCTTACAGAAGAATTTGGGATTTGGTCGAGATGCTTTGACAATGCAGAATAATTCTTACTCTTTCATATGATGACACTTTCCTTAAGCACAGACTGGAACTCAGATCCTCTCACCTTTTATCTTGCACTCAGCGAAAGTTCTCGTGACTTCGTCTAATTGGACAGAGTAACTATTTCTCATTCATCTTCTGTTACTTGCCTGCTGCTGAACATGTGGTTCTGAGTGTTGGCGCACAGAGTGCAGCCCGTTGGTTGAGAAAGCGCGTTTCTCCTTCCCGTGTGTCAGTCTCCGGGCTTCCCCAAAGGGAGCAGATGTCAGCAGGAAACTGCAGGGTGAGACCAGCTTGAACCTCTTCCCTCTCAAGCTCACTTCTCCACTTAACATACTTTCTCAAGTGGTCGGAGGATGCATTTAGACCGTCGCCATCCCTTTGGTGCTGACGAGAGCTTCCTGGGACAAGCCATCTGCCATTCCTTAGAATCATCTGGAGTGGGGACAGTGGGAAGTCACGGGGGTCACTGAGAATCTTCGCTTCCAGCAGCAGAGACCCGTTAAGCAGGTCTCATTTCCGTGATGTAAACGGACCTACATCCTCCGTTTGTTAGTGCTCAGAGTTCCCCGGATCTGCCCGTCAGAATACTTAGAAGACAGGCTTCGAGTTTGTGGCTGAGCTCAAGCTCTTCCATATGCCTGCTGTCGAAGCCCGATTATCTTAACAAGAGACAGAAGCAAGGTTAACGTGCCTTCTCAGTGAGAGTCAGCATTTCCTCAGGTCAAAAGCTCAGGCCGCTTACACAGTTCCTGTTAATCAGACCCGTCTCCTTCCAGATGACGTACAGAAAAGGTGAGCTGTTGGTGGGGGGTGCGTTTGGACCGTAAGGTTGTTCGCCAAGCGCATTCTGAGTGTCTTGTACGTTTCTCATGTTCAACACTCCCCCCGACAAATCCCACCTTCTTTTCCTTCTGGATGCGAACCAACAAGTAGCGAAACCACAAGGAATCTGTAAAGTTTAAATTGTTGCTTCAGAAGTGTGCAGGTCATTGCCAAATAAAGCCTCGACTGGAAACTCGTTTGCACTGTTGAGATACAAGGCCTCGTAGGCGTCCCGCAGGCCCCGGGAGCGGCTGGCTGGTGTCCTCACTCCTGGTTCCTTACATTTACGGTTTGCTGGACGTTCTGGACATAAAAATGTTTTCAGGTCTCGTGGTGCCTCAGTTTACCTGGAAGCCGCAGAATACTTATCAAAAGAATGAGTCACATGGGTAAGATGTATAAATGACAGGTTAATTCTTACTTAAAAAAAAAAGTCACGAGCTTTGTTTACTTTCCGAGTTAACTGCAGCCGTACGTGGGAACTCTCTGTAAAGGGGTTGGTGGAACCCCCTGCTGAAGAAGCTTAGCGTCAGGGAGGCCCGAATGGGATTCCTGCCCACACGGACCATTGGCTTCGTCCCACACAAAGGGGGGGCGGCAGGGACAGTGACTGCAGAGGACGGCTGTGCGCACCTCACCAGGGTCTGGGCGTTCTCTCTCTCTTGCAGGCAGGAAGCCCTTCTGGCCGCCATCAGTGAGAAAGACGCCAACATCGCACTCCTGGAGCTTTCGTCCTCAAAGAAAAAGACCCAGGAGGAGGTGGCCGCCCTGAAGCGGGAGAAGGACCGGCTTGTGCAGCAGCTCAAGCAGCAGGTATGCCTTGGGCCGGGCGCCCGGGTCCCCACGTCCCCACGTCCCCGCGTCCCCGCCGGCCTGTGCCTTCAGGTCGCGGTCTCAGGTTACCCGTCCCACCTCGTCTCGGTCACCCTCGCCGGCAGAGGCTTCAGTCCTCACAGTCTCTGGAGAATTCTCGGTAGGAGGACTGGTTTGGAAGATGGCACACATCTCAGGAGAACGTTTTTTAACTTCTGCAACGACGGCGTGAAATTCTGCCCATTTGAAATGAAAAAGGCTTTTGTTTTTTGATGATGTCTCTCAGGAGAGTCAGGCCACAGGGGTCCACAGCGCCCACACCCATGTGGTACCTGGAAGTGCTCTGGGGTGTCTGCAGGGGCTCTTGGGGCCTTTAGTGGCACCTCCGGGTCCAGAGGCTCATGCCCAGGAGGCGGCAGGGGTGTGGGGTACCTGCCGCCCGCTGGTGCAAAGGCTTGTTTTTCACATCCAGTCAGATTCCTCCTACCGAAGGCACCACGTCTGTTTTCATTTAAATGACTTCCTGTTATTTGGGGCCGGGTGCACTCTGAAGGTGAGAGCAAGGTTTGCCCTTCTCTTTTCCACTTAAAACCCTGCACAAATGTAATGCGCGCTGCTACGCAAGGCCTTTCATCTGTGAAGTGAAAGCTGGAAATCTCCCCTTTGATGGTGGTTGCACAACGCTGGAAATGCACTTACTGGACAGAACCGTACACGTTAAGGCGGTTAAAATGGTAAAATTTACGTTTTGTGTATTTTACCACAATTTTTAAAGCGGGGGGAGAAAACGTCCCCCTTTTAGAATAGGAGAAAGCTGGCTTTCAGCGTCTGAGGCCGCTTCCTCCTCTCCACTGCTCTTCCCTCAGTGGCGCCGTGCGCCCTCTGTGGTGCCCCCTTCCTGCCCCCGCACGTGCTCTGTGCAGCTTGGCCGTTTAGATTTGCTCTTGGGCTGGAAGCGATCCGACCAGGAAAGAGTCTTTCAAGTGAAGGAGTTTCTCTTTTCCTGCTTGAGGGGATCAGTCACAACCGACAGCATGACAGTTAATGTTCAGATTAGCAAGAATCAGTATTTACAGAGCAAAGGTATTTCCTCTGTGGACCATCACAGCTGCCTAGAAATAGACGTCATTACATAAATAATATCGTCAGCCTGACTTCGCTGAGAAAGTACCAGAAGGGGTGCCCTTGTGCAGGATGGACAGGTGCGCAGAGGAGACAGCTCGCTGCTCGTCTGCAAGTGAGAGAAACCCTTGCCAGCGTCTAAAATGCGTGTCGCAGGAGGAGGACGCCGCCAGTGTCGGGGTGCCTGCTGAGTCAGACGGGGAGAACGTGCTCATTACTGGAGGCATCTGCCCCTCAGTCCACACTGAGGTTGGCTCATCGCCGCAGATAACGTGAATAGAGTTGTAGTTTCGGGGCCGGGGTGCGGGAAGTGGGGAGATTTCTGCCCCCTGCGTGGGGAGGTGGAGGCCAAGTGTACAGCTTCAGTTCTGCAGGACCGCCCGGGCGGCCTAGCGTACAGCGTGGCAATACTGTGTCGTGCACTTGGAATTTACTAAGAGAGTAGTTCTTAAGTGTTCTCACAAAAAAAATAAAATAGAATAAAAGGTAACTACACGAGGTGATGAACGTGTCCATTGGCTTCACTGTGATCACTTCACAACGTACTCACATACTAAAGCGTCACACTGTACCCCTGACAGACGTGCAGTGAATGTATATGCAGTTTATGTTTGTCAGGGAGAAAAGCTGGTAACGTGAAGCTGGAGGGTGTTGAGGAAAGGCGTTTCCTGGTTTGTGAGTGCGCGTATTGGGCGGTAGCGGTTCTCCTAAGCAGCTAGGCCTGCATCCACAGACACGTGATTGAGGTCCTTCCTCCTTAGGACACCACGTAGGATAGAACTTGAGCCTGGCAGCTCCAGCGCTGTGTCTCATTCACAGCGGCTTCTGGTTACTTGGCTGTCAAAACCATGTGTTTTCTTAGGTGAAAGGTAAAGATGTTAATTATAACCTTAGAAAGGAGCGGTCAGAAAGTCCCGAGTACCTTTGCGCGTGGCCGTGTGCCCTGGGCGTCCTGTGGTGGGGTAAGCCGTGCAGGAGGACAGCGGTGGCCTCCCCCGGAGCCCCGTCCCCGGAGCGCTGCGCTGCACGCCCTCGCAGCATGAGTCTGGGACGCCGTGCAAGTGGGAACTGGGCATTTTGAGTCTTTAACTTCTCTGAGTGTGCACACTAGCCTCTGGACGAGGGGTGGCTTTGGGAAAGAGGACGTGGCATCGCTGTCATTTTAACTTGAAGCTGTAGCCGTCGAGTTGCAAGAATGCGCCTGAGTCTAAGGCCATCTCCCAACAAGGAAGCAGGCAGCGCTGACCAGACCCGCCCCTAAAACGGGGCTGCCGCAGCCCGGTGGGGCCTTGGTCTTTGTGTGCGATTCTGAGTTCGGAAGGAGGTGAAGCACAAGGGAGTTACAGACTAGAGGGTCACCTGTAGGCGGGTCCTGGTTTGCTCCCCGACTCCCAGGGTAACGGGCCTTCAGGACTCAGTCATGGGAAAGCAGCCCTGGGAGAGGCCGCATCAGAGAAAGGTGCCGGGCCCGAGGGACAGAAGGAAGAGGAACGGCGGTCTGACCAGGTCCAGGCGCTGTGCTGGTGCCCGCACTCCCACTGTACGTGGTGAGGCGGCCCGGCTGTCACCACCAGGCACCCCGCTGGTGGGTGCCAGCGCACCAGCCCCGGGGGGGTCTCTGGGCCGCCAGCCGGCCCTGGTCTCAGCCCCTTTTCCTTCCTGCCACCCCGAGAACTTAGGGCTTCCCTGACGCAGCTGCCGTCAGCGGGAGGTCAGGCGCTGCCCCTGTTCAGGACAGGCCAGGGGGTTTCTTTGTCGCTTTTCATTTTAAAGTGTTTTGAGTGCAGGTTGAAGGGATTTGGTTTAAATCTAGACAAACTCATTTACAGCTGCAATTTTGTGATCCTCTGCATTAGGGTTAATGTCCGACAGTGTGGACTTTTCTTGCCTTAAAGACATTTGGAGTCTAACCAGTTGTTCTGATTGTCCAGACCACCCTGCAGGGGGTCCCTGGCCTTGCCGTCCCTCCCGCCGCAGCCTCAGCACGCGTCCCTGTGTCCATCACCCACTGTGTCCGCCCATTTGTCTCAGATGCGTCAGGTGCGTGCAGCATGTCAGACACTCTGAAGGGAAGGCGAACGTCTTTCTTCCCAGGAGCGGCCCCATCCAGAGCTCATCGGCTCGGCTGTGACTCTGGCTGGTCCGTTCACCAGTGACACAGATGGTGAGTGGGTCTCTGAGGCTCACGCTCCTCATCTACAAAATTTGCGTCACATTTTATATGCCCTCACAGGGTTAGTGTGAATTTAAGTAAGATCGCAGCCCCGAGCATTTGGATCCACTTCTGTTCCCCAGCGGAACCGCGCACGCTGGGGACGCAGCGAAGGGGCTCGGGACCTGTGGTCCTCGCTCTCCGCTCAGGACGGCGGCCGCGTTCACTCCACTGCTCTGCTCCTCTGAGGAGGGCGTCTTTCTCAGGGCAGCTGGGAGAAATGAGTGTTTTCTTGCGTAATGTGAAAGAAATCCAGCTTTTCTGTCGAACTGGTGACCTGAATCTTGCATTTTCCTCATTGAAGAGCGGCGTTAAATGCCCACCTGCGCGAAGGGTCAGTGCTGGGAACGTGGTGACTCCGGCACGCGCTCCGTGCACTTCCTTTCCGGTTCTGTGGCTTCCCCTTTGCGTTCACGCCTCTTCCTCGTGTCCAGCGCTAGTCTGACCTCAGAATTAGGTGAGAGGAAGAGTAACTATAAAAACGGCTACGACTTCTCAGTGGCCTGTGACACGCTGGGCACAGCTGCTTCGCCGCCCTCACCGTATCGTGAAGCCCAGAAACTCCAAAGACTGCGTTTCTCAGCTAAATTCCCATCAGGACTGAGGGGCAGAGCCAGGATTAGAACCAATTATCTTTTCAGCCTTACCATCATCTTATGTGGAAATCCCAGGGGGCCAGTAGTTAGAAAAGTCATTTAGCAATTAGAGCAACACGCGCAGTGCTGTCCCGTTTTCACGACGGGCGCGTCTGTGCCCCGGCGCCGCGGGGAAAGTACGTACTTATGCTCCGCCCGCTCCCCTCTCGATCTGCTTGTGAAGAGCTTGAAACAAACAAAAAAAAACAGTGTGATCTGTCCTTGTTTTAGGAATTACTAGGAGAAACGACACAAACTCGAAGCTACAAAATAACAAAATACAAAGTAACAGCGGAGTGTAGCGTGGCTCTTGTGTCTTAGAGACGCAGGCCCCCGGGGCTCTGACCCGGAAGGCCTCCGGGTCTGCCAGCCGCTCCTGCGAGCCCCGCCCGGAGCCCCCGAAGCTGTGAGCACCCTGAGTGTGTGGGGACTTCAAGTCCAGAGTGATAGTGGAGGGGGCTTCATCCCCCGCCCCCGACGTGTGGGTGGGAGGAGGCGGTCCAAGCCAGCAGCCACCCTGCGTGGCCGGCCTGTTTGGCCCTCACGTGGGGTGAAGAGGATCACCCGAAAGGGCTGGGACTCACCGCGGACTTTCCGCCCTCTCCTGGGTGCCGGTGACAGCCGCGCGGGCAGAGGGACCGCCTTTCATTGCAGGTTCAACCACTTTATCCAGCATTTCTAGGAATTGTCACATAAGCATTTTCTGGTTTGACAAAAAAAGATACACTTCTTTGATGTCACCCAGGAAAACTGAACAAAAATGATCAGTGGTTTATCACTGAGTCTCCCGTTGCTCAGTCTGTCTCATTTTAAGAGCTGTAACTAACTGATTTAAATGGTTGTTATTCCATGTTGTCTGAACAACTCTCGGTTTCCGTTATGCTTGGGAGCAAGGCCCGAGGCTGGGAAATAGCGCGTACTTGTTCACTGGACGTGGGAAGCTCGGCGCTCTGTGTCCCCCCTGCACTCCCCCGGCTGCAGAGGGTGTGCTCCCCACTCCCGGGAGGGCCTGAGGGCCGCGCAGCGTGTCC